AATATAAACTACTTAATATCAAATGTATATTTTAGCTATTCTTTTTATCAGAACTTCTATCACTTAAAAAATTTAAACACATATCTATGACATTAGAACTTGCTTCTTGCGCCTTTCTTTCTTCTGAAGGCAGTATAGGCTCCCCTGACTATTATGTTAAACCTCTCTTATGAGAGTCTACATAGTAGAATTTTTATATATGGTTTGATATAGTATTGCTATTTCCTTTTCAGGCATATTCGTTATTTGTGAGGAGGATGTTTTTGATGAACCAAATCTTTTTGGTAAAATAAAATTGATTCTAAACTATGTGTACAAATCATTGAGCACAAACCCTTACATGTATGGTAACTGCCCAAATACTAATGATAGGTTGGTGTTACATATGTCAACAAGTACCAAAGTACTTAAGTGTAAAAGTGTAGAAGTTGGTACAAGTAAATTTGCAATTACACCTGTGGAGTGGAAGTTTCTCCCAAAGTCACAGCAATGGCAAAGACTGGACTGCTATTACGAGTTTGATGAAGTTTACCCAGTAGTTGTAAAGAAGAGCGGGATTTCTGTTAAGCAACAATTTCAGGTACCTTTCAAATAGTTTTATTTCTGTTTAAATGCTATTTTAAAAGGTTGCTCTTTTTTGAATGAACTGATACCATGTAAACAATCACCTTTTAAGTAATGACCTGCTTCGTTTCAAGGCCTACCTGGCCTCAAACAAGGACAAAGAGACTCCAGTTAAGCACGTAATTTCCCCAATTCTTTCCTAATGTACCTGGCTGAAGCGATAAGTTGTCAAACCCGTTACTTCTGCCTTTAACGTGCCCTTTGTGTTTACTGGCATAGTCAAGGCAATCAGCAGTCAACTGCTTAATGTCTTTCAGAAAAAATAAAACAACAAATAATATTGCATTTAAGTAAACACTTTATTAGTGCCACAAAAACAAAAATGATTATATGTTAACAATAATTTAAAATGTGCAAATCATCTCAAATCACATAGAAATAAAAACTACTACTAAGTGAGGTGATAACTTTTACCCACAAACTTTTACAAATTGCAAGTTTTTCAAGTTTTTGTAATTTTTTCTCTTTGTTGATTTCTATATAAACTTCATGTGTTCATAGCAAATCTTAGAATCAGCACATAAAACTATCCAGTCCAGTGTAATGTTCATTGATGGAGAACTCAAAGATGGAACAGAATCTTTAGATCTTTTGGTGAAGAAGAAGAAAACCAAGACCGGCTCGAAAACCACTCAACACACACATGATGGTTCAAAATCAATGCAAGTCTCTTTATTTGTGCCTTTTGTAAGTATTACTTGTTCTTTAGGCTAAACATACTATATTTTTTGCTAAATAATATCTTTTATTGAATATTTAGCTTAATAAATGAGCACTACTGTGCTGTCTTATTACTTCAGAATCGCAATTCGTTGTTTATATTGATTAAAATTCTGTGTTCTAATGTACATATTTTATGTCATTAATTTATTCATAGGAAAACTCGCTACCTGAGTCAGTAGAATACATGGAATGTGATGGCAGTATACATTTCAGTGGAGTGGTGTCATCAAGTATATTCATGTTTCCAAAGGCAACCGTTGCAGAGGCCATCACAGCTGTCAAAGAGGATATCATACGGTCCCTTGCATCTAGATTTACTATGCATTGTGATGCTCTAATTGATGATAATTTATTGCCTGAAGGTAAGAAGGATACCTTTACTGTTAAGAATGAAAGTTTTGTCAGCATTTAATGCGATAAATTTATTGTAAATAATGAAAATAATTTAATTTTCATCATAAACACCCTGCTGCATTGGTCTGCTCTAGGGTGTGGAATGCTTTGACTTTTTAGAATATTTTTATTAAGTGCTGATATAATTATTGATAGTCCATTTGTTTCAGAAAAAGTGTGCTTCAATGAACCTCCACGCAGAGTGCTAGTGCCTGTTGGACCGTTGTATTTATGTGACTACTTATTCCCTGGTGAAACACCTGCCGAGGCACTGCTCTCGGTCAGAGAGTTATTAGATCTGAAGATCACAGAGGCGGATGTTGTCTGTGATGTGGAGACTCCTGCAGGTATAAATTTCTGTTACTTATCTGTTTATACTTAAGTTACCTATGTATACATACGTAAGGATTAAGTTATGTAGTTTGAGTGTCTCCCACTCTTTCAGCCAATTGATTCAATGGGATTTTATTTCTCATTTTGTACATTTGAACCTTGTTTCATATCTAACAGTTAACAGAGAAATTCTAAATAAACGCATATGTAACTCGCATTCAAGTTGTGTTCAACATGGATAACGTGTATCTGGAACAAACGGAAAAAATGGCCCATTGGACCCATTAATTGGATTAGCAATCGGAGAAACGAATCATCGAATACGCTACAATAGTCTGTCTTTACTTGGATTAAAGGATGCAATAGGTTGAAAATTCCCACTATATACCCAATACAACTTTTGATGAAATTCTTCTTTCAACTTGATTATTAGTAAAAATACTGTTATTAGATTTGCTGCATGAGATGAAAAGTTGTATTATACATTTATTTATAAATAAATGTGCTTTATATTTAGACAAAAAGAGGAAATTAACATTTTTCTTTGACTCCAAATTGAAACAATGTACATACGACAATGTGACCAAAATTAATTTTGGAAAATTATTTGTGATTGTGATCGTTTTGTTTATGACGACAGTGTGTATGTATAATCAATATCGTACTTCCAGATACATCGGAATTCGACGCTTTGGACAGAGACGCGAGTAGCGAAGAGTTATTGGCGACTCCTCAGGAAGCTAGTCAGTTTATGTACATAACAGGGATTTGTTTTGCCATGTTGGTTCTTATTGTCTCCATCATAGTACATTATTACGATGCGATCGTAGAATTTGTGGGTAAAATTATTTCCAAACATTAATTTTCTTGGTGGATTTCTATATTTACATTCCACATGCAAAATAGGCGCTTTGTTGTCGAGTTGCGGACACCAGTCCGTTGCGCCAAGTACTAAGTTCTATATTTACATTAAGCGTGAGTTTTTATGTCGCCTTTAACGTATCAATTTTATGCTTTTCATTTTTTCATTATATTGACGATTAATTATTTATAGCAGTATATTTGGTGGGCAAATAACTTCCTCGTCATTGTTAAATGCAAGGAAGTCATTCCAAACTGTCGGCAGTCATTATTCCTATGTCGGCTGTACACTCTCGTCCCAGTGCTCTCGCCGATAGTGCCCACGCGAGAGGCCTTTTCACGAATGCGCCCATGTACTCTCTTATATTTGTTGCGGTTGCGAATGCCGAGAAGATGGACGCATTAGAAACTGTTACTTTATGCGCTATCAATTACTGTAATATGTATGTATGTACGTACATATCATACAAAAAAACTTTCACTCGGGCGCAAAAAGCCGCCCCGGGAGCTAGCCGGCGAGGGACACCAAGAAATCCGAGGCTAGGCAAGTGCTTTCCTGTATACTCTCGCACTCGTCATGTCTTGAGATTTCTCTACGAGAGTGTACAGCCGCCATAAAGATATATTCGTAGGAAAGGTACGAATATATAACGTCTAAGAGTGGACGCGCGTTTGCATCGTTACACTTGTGATTTATATCGATGCATTTCATTGTATCATCATCATCGCTGCTTAAAATCGCGCGCGTGTGTAAAGGTAGACGATTAACGATTGCTACTGCATCTCTGCTAAAAGTCGCCGTCTGTAACCGCTCTAACGTGCACTTGGAAAATATTACAGTAAATTTATATTTATACAGTATTATAGTCGTCACAAAATAATAGATCATATTTGACAGCTAAACCAGTCGATAGTATGTAACTTTGAATGCAATCAACGAAACAGTAAATAAGCAATTAATAACTTATTGGGTTTTAAAAAAATACATAAATTTTATTGAAGGTCTATACGTTATGAAAGAAACATATTTCAAGTATTATTTTCGCAGGAATTCCAAAATAAAATCCAATTTTGAGTTACTCCGAAACGTCTTATAAACAGTTACATCTTCAGTCTAATTCTTTTTAATAATAGTGTTGTAACCAATAAGCGCCGACTATCATCGAGTCAAATCGGTTTCACTTTAAAAAAAATGACTTATTTAATTACTAAAGTCGTCACAAAATAATAGATCATATTTGACAGCTAAACCAGTCGATAGTATGTAACGTTGAATGCAATCAACGAAACAGTAAATAAGCAATTAATAACTTATTGGGTTTTAAAAAAATACATAAATTTTATTGAAGGTCTATACGTTATGAAAGAAACATATTTCAAGTATTATTTTCGCAGGAATTCCAAAATAAAATCCAATTTTGGGTTACTCCGAAACGTCTTATAAACAGTTACATCTTCAGTCTACAAAGAAATAATTCTTTTTAATAATAATGTTGTAACCAATACGCGCCGACTATCATCGAGTCAAATCGGTTTCACTTAAAAAAATGACTTATTTAATTACAAAAACAAAAATTTTAAAGTGCTTACAAAATTAGACTGAGTATACTAGTATTTATAGTAGACAGAACCGTAAAGTCAGATTTGTATTTCCTTTTCTTTATCGCAAATTCTGAAACGGCAACACTGATGTCGATTTAGCGTCACTCTGCATCGGCGCCCGCGCAGTCTTTCGCCGTCTTGGAAGTTGACTGTACGCTTGGTTATTCGTGGTGTTTTTTCTTGTGACTCGGCTGTGCTTTTGGACTACTTCTATTTTCAATCTCGTTGACCTTGGCTTGGATATTTTGGACTTGATTCTGTGTGAACTCTTTTTCAACATGTCGAAAAGAGGACGTGCTTTAAATAGCCAGACTCGCGAACTGGTTGTGAAATTACACGACTATTTCGAAAGGGAGTCACTTAATGGTGGACCTCTATTACCAGTGACACAAGTGCAAAATCGCGTCGCAAGTGCACTTGGAATCGGCAAAAGAACGGTACACACCATCATACAAGAAAAATATGGGCCTTCCGGCTCTCAAGAAAACGTATTACATACGCCTAGAAAGAGGAAGAAAAGCAAGCCTGTAACAGGTATCGACACGTTCGATGCAGACGCTATTCGTAACCATGTTTATACATATTATACTAGACACGAGTACCCTACTGTGAGTAAATTGTTGGTATCACTTCGAGAGCTTGGCTTATTTACTGGGAGTGCTACCTCACTGATTACAATTTTGAAAAAAATTGGTTTTAAATACAAGAAGTCTGACAAAAGAAATATTATGATGGAAAGACATGATTTAATATTACAAAGAGTTTCATTTTTGAGAGAAATGAATAAAATTACAAATTGGGATAATGTTGTGTTTATCGATGAGACTTGGTTGAACTCAAACCACACAGTACCACAATCATGGACCGACGACACTAAAGCATCCAGCTCGAAAGTGCCAATGGGAAAAGGTGGTCGCCTCATAATTTGCCATGCTGGATCAGCCGGGGGAGGTTTCGTTAATAATGCTTTACTAGCATTTGAATCAAAAAGTACAAAAGAATATCACGAAGAAATGGACGCAAACAAATTTAAAGAGTGGTTTAAAACTTTACTTCAGAACCTCCCCGAACAATGTACAATAATTATGGACAGTGCATCGTATCATTCGGTTCAAATAGATCGAGCGCCGACTCAGGCAAATAAAAAGGCTGATTTGGTGGCATGGCTACAGAGGAATGGTGTCGAAGCTGACATGGAGCTATTGAAAGTGGAATTGTTAAGATTAGTGCGAGAGCATAGACCTACAAAACTTAGGTATGAAATTGATGAATTGGCACTTGAGCATGGACATAAAATTATAAGGACACCGCCGTACCACTGTCAATACAATGCTATTGAGTTGATTTGGGCTCAAATTAAAGGTTAATATTTTTGCATTTAATACTGTTATTTTAAATTCGTATATATTAAGACTTATTTTGTACTAGTAGCATATTTTAATAAAGTACAAATGTAAAGAGGTAACATATAAACTTTCGAATTTGTAATATCACTGTGAAGGAACATTACTATTTTACAACAGTGTTTTTTTTTTACAGGCTACGCAGGACGTAATAATACTAAGCCACCGTTCTCCACAAAAAAAATGATGACTTTATTAAAGGAAGCATGTACTAAAGTAACAAAGGAAGACTGGAGAAAGGTGGTGGAAAAAACTAGAAAACTAATAAAAGAAGATTTTGACAGAGATGTTAATATTGATAATTTAATTGAAAACGAGTTAATTATATGGACTGGTGAAACTAGCTCAACAGATGGTTTTGGTTCATCTTCCGATGACGTTGATAAATAAAAAATTCCAATAAGGAGGTCTTTTGTTTTACTTCAGAATTTTGTTATTTACGTACAGGTTATCCTCGTGAACTATGCTAATGTATAACTACAATACAACAACAAGTACAGGTTGCCGTTGTGCTCACTTAAAATACTTACTTATTATTTCTATTAAACTGTATAACGTTTAAATAAATGTTGATTGATATATCTAGAACTGAAAAGCAATGAACAGAAAAATAACCTAAACGATTACAAACTCCTAAAATTTTTAATCGATTTCTCGTGAGAATCGTTTAAACTGGTTACCGATATTGCAGTTCACATCACTATTTACGTTGCGATGACATGTGTCAAATATGATCTATTATTTTGTGACGACTATAGTCATTTTAAATGTATGCATTTGTTATATGGAAATCTATAAGGTTTCATCGTTTCCATATAGCAAATATAATAAGACTTATGATTTTTTTTTAATTACTATAAATCGCTCTCCTGTAATATTTTCCAAATGCACGTTAGACATTTTAACTTTCCAGGGTCTATGATATATGAATTTGAGCTTTCATTAACGAGCTGATTATTGCATTTTTTCAAGGACGAGCTAGTGGACCATCTTCATTATTCGTGAATGTATAAATAGGCTCATTAAGTAATTGTTATTGTTTACGTACATTAAGGCCCCTTAATATGCTAAAAGAACACCTGTAACTGAAACCTATATCGATATCACAAGATTATTCCTGTGATTGCTTCCTTTAGGAAAGGTATAAACAATAACCCGTAATACCCTTATTATTCATGAAATGTTTATTTCACCAATTTGTTTACTTTAATTTTTAATGTCATTCAAATGAACTCTTCTAAGTGCTTTATGTTATTAAATTAAATATAAAGGACTGTTTTTAGGATCACATAGAGTTGTCTTGCTTATGACGAAACGTATATAATTATATCGTATTATGATGATAAAAGTATAATATATTCATTGTACTACTCATCTGGACCCCGACTCAGAACTCTTCGATATTTTAACCGAATCGTTCGGTTGAATATCGTTTTCGAATCGAATGGAACTTTCCGAGCTATTTAGAACATTCCGAGTTAAATTCGGATTTGGGATACGATATCATTATCCAACAGCTTTTACGGAGTTAGTCGGTGAAATAGTTTATAAGAAAAATGAAAATCCTTTTATGCACATTTTCAAAACTTTAGACCTAAAATATAGGAATGCATTAGTCTCGCATTAAAATAAATTAATAAAATTTAACAAAATCCAGATTTTATTAGATATTAAAATAATAACAGATTTCCACATTACATTCTTGCTTTGTAAACATTAGGACGTGCAGTAACTTTCATCCGATAACTGTATTTTGAATAACGTTTGTAGCCTTTGCCGGTTCAGAAGTTCGAGTAATCGTACGGGTGTGACGTCATTTCGGTTCGGTTTCGAATACGACATTTAACGTTCGATGCGGGTGTTGTGAATAAAAATGAAAAGAAAGTTAGTCGGAGCGTGTCTTTATAGGGACGCTGTAATTTATTTTGTTGAATGATAACATTTTCCTGTTTGTTTTTTTTTACAGAATGATGTATTGTCCCAAGTTAGATTGAAATGTTGGTTTTATATACGTTTTTAAATACTGTTTATTATTTTTGCTTCTTTTGTATGATATATAAGATACGATAGCATTTAATATTGATTGATGTAGCAAAAATGAAGTTATTACGTTAATTGTAACTGTTTTATGTAAAGAATGCTGTGTAAATTAAAGCATTTTAATAAATAACTATTTTTACATAATTATAGGATTTTTGTTTTTTCTTATTAAGCGACGCCATGTCCAAAATTTGAAATAAATACGCTTTTTATTCCAAATCAACTTGATGGTCCTTCGAGTCGAGTATTACGTCATTGTGATGTTCTTTTTCATAATAGTCTGGCTTTTCACAAAAAAAAATGTTTGTGATAATCTCCGACAATTTCACTTTCCAATAGTTGTGACTAACTAACTACTACTAACTAACTTATTTTCACAAAAGAGTTTTCTATAATTAATTTACTCATTTATTCATATAAATCGTACACTATTATTTTGAGACTATTGACTTTCTTACGCCATCTGTTGTTTTCGTGCTGTACCATAGCAACGGCGAGTCAGGCAATCTACTATAAAGTCAACCGACCAAAACACAATGCACACACTATACTAACTGGCGGCGTCAGCGCACCGCACCGTATAGCGAGCAAGAAAGAGAGATCCGATTGACTTTAACGACTTCAAATACCAACTGATAAAATTCTTTTTATATGTGTTTTGATAGTGGGCCGTGCGTGACAACTACGCATTCGGCCGTTTCAATTGATCAGGTTAAGGTAGTTTACGTGGTCGCACAATAGTGTTTTATTAAATTTACGAAACTTTTGTTTGGATAATTAATGTGTTACAAGTGACTTAAAATGTGAACAAGAATATGTACGAGAGTTACCTACGAAAGAGTTAATTGTAATTGCGCGATTAATAATTCATTAAAACCGGTTTAATGCTAGTGGTTGAGTGCGTGATACGAAGACGTTGCAATGGCATTTTCACTGAATAAATTGAAGAATTTTCTGAACAGTAATAAGGATGGCGGTGGTCAGTTGGCTGGTAGTGGTAGTTTGGAGCCGGAGATAGGGTTTAAATTGTCTCTGCACCCGATCAACAAGAATTTATACGTGACCGTCATTGGCGCGAGACACCTTCCGTCCCTATTCGGTTTGAGTCGCGCCCATGGATACCTTGTTAAGGTAACTTCCTTTCTATTATACTCATTATATTGTCCGAACCGACAGACGCGACTGATTGGGCTACTTCCTATTGCATTATTGTGGACAAAGGGAATGTAAACATTAAACTATTTCATATATCAATAACGCGTCACCGTCACCGTCTCCGAAGACTGTGAAGAAGCTTTTTGTTTTAATGATTAACGTCAATGGTATGTGGTTAGTGGACTTCACACGCCGTCATTTAACTTTAATGTATTTATTTGCGAGTTGTCATGGTGCTTCAATCACGCTTTTCAGTACAAGTAACATAAAAGATTTTTTGTTTTGTTATGGTGGTACGCGGACACGTGCTGATTGGTTATTAATAAAATATTTAATATTAAACAACAATTTATCAACATTATCATTATTTCTATCTAATTACCACTCAACATATATCGAGATAGAAACGGGAAAATCAAATATGAATCCACCGGCCCCGTTTTCATTTTCGATGTTAATTAATCAATACCCACTGCCTATAGTTCAATTAGCAATTAGTTTGTTAATGTTCGTAAACGAATCTGCAAATTAATTTTTGAATTGTAAATTGCCTTGTAGTCGAATTTTTCTTAATGGAGATCAGTGCCCTGCAGTGGAACGTAACTAATTATATAGGTTACCGGTAATCGACCTTAAGTACGTAAATAAATAAAGTATTTGTACTTATACATGTAACCAACCCTTAATTTACAACGTAGGTAACCAATTTTCACATAATATACGCATTATAATTATTATTTATTTATGGCCTATAGCCTTAATGAACCGTCAGCATAGAAAAATAACAAATAATTGAGAATCTCTTGTATCCCACTGTTGGGCAAATGTCCCCCCCAAAATCCTCAATTGCTCATATACACTTACTATTATTAATTTATTGAGAATTGGTTGTAAACACAGACAGACATATCTAGATATATATCTATGGTTGTAAAGCCATCAGCTTAAACAGATACAGTCAAGAGCACATCAATCTTGACACTTTGTACTTTGGACCATTCTTAACGTAAGCAGTTGGATTTGTCTTTAGTGCCAAGCTTGACGTGTTCTTAACCTTATAACAAATAATTAGGAAACTCAAAGCGTATTTAAACTAAACATTAATTGATGTAAAAACAGAACTACCCCATAAATACACTTTCAATAATAGAGACGTTATTCGCCAAGTAACATTTTTGGGAAAATGAGAACTTAAAATATAATAATTTCAGTACAGAGTACTAAAAAAACCGACCTCAAAAGTCATTCATCCCCTAGTTTGCGACTCTTAGAGGTGGAATATTTTCTTCAAATTTAAATGGGGCCTGATACTGAGGTATCCTCTTTCCAACAAAAAAGAATCATCAACGTGTAACATACTTACATACAAAAAAAAACTTACAGTCGATTTGAGAACCTTCTCCTTTTTATGAAGTCGATTAAAAATTAAATTACGTGGCACTTGCAGCCGTTTAATGCGACTTGGCTGGCGCTCAATAATATGACGAATTACTGTTTAATATCGAAGACAGGCTAACGCGTCTAAGGGCGTATTTACATTAAGTCGTCAGGCAAGCTACACGGTGTAAATAGTGAGTCGTCTGACGACGGTAGTTTACAGCCAAAGTCGACGGAAACGACTGGGTGCGTCGTCGCCTTCGGCACGGCGAAGTAGTCTGTCAAAAACGGCAGAGGTTTTGGTGTAAATAGGGAATCCAATGCGTCGCCTTCGGTAGTCGAAGTACTCTGCCGAACGTTGGCAGACGACCCTGCGCCTGCGCCTTAAGTCTTATTGCTATAACTTACATTTTTCCCTATCGACCGACCCGAGAGATAGGGTTTTCAAGACCAGGGTACAGCGGACGTCCGGGCCAAGCCCTCCGCCAGTGATACGCCTTTGCCAGAGTCGCCCTCTGGCGGACCCGGATTTGGGTATGAACTCGCTGGGGTTTGTGGTTAGCTGCAGAGACGGACATGTTTGTCTGCCCCGGTTTTGCATGTTTCCGGGGCGTCTGTCTCGTGAGCAGCTAGCGCGTCTTAGTAGCGGTCTAGTCTTAGGGCCTGTAGCGAGGAGACGCGCGGGACACGTGAGTTGCCCTTTAAGTTGGAAGCTACGTCCGGACATTGTCGCAGGACACTGCGACTGGCATCTCCGGCACTAGCCCGGAGAGCTAGTAGAGGATAAGCTAGATATCCTCCGGTCCCTCCAGCCGCTTAGGTTATTGGGAACTGGAGAGACGTCGTTTTTCGGTGTCGAGAAGTGAGCGTGACTTACAGCTCCGCCACCAATGAGGAGATTTGGTAGTGGACTCAGAGTCGACGACTTATTGGTGGCAACCGCTAGTTGTGCATTACGCAACGGGAAGTGAGCGTGCCTACAGCTCCGGTACCTATCTGGAAAATAGGGAGGGCACTGAACGTGCACCCGGGGCGGCTCACCCGAGGCACTAGCCTCTCGAAGAGCCGGATGAAGTTAAGTGACAGAGGTCTGTGACAACCCTGAACACTCTGATCTGGGGTCAGAACCTGAATTTATAAGGTTCTTGTGCGCGCATAGGTTATAGTGCCCTTCTCATATGCTCTCAAGGGAGGGTCACTATAATCAAAACTAACGTAGAAAGATATGGAGCTTGCTATAACTTAGATTGTAATTTTTAACCGACTTAAAAAAATGTTTTTTTGTATGTATGTTACGCGATAACTTCCGGCATTTGTGACACGATTTTGATGATTCTTTTTTTTTGGAAAAATGGTACCTCGGTAGTGATCCCATTTCAATTTGAAGAAAACATTCTACCTCTAAGGTTGGCAAGCTAGGGGATGAATGACTTTTGAAGTCGGCTTTTTTAGTACTCTGTACTGAGATTATTCTTCAATAATTTAATTTACAGGCAAAGCCAATACTTCAGTTTATATAATATTTTACGTGGCTTTTTTATTTCAATAATTATAGTCAGTTTCCAAAAATGTTTTCGAATTTCGTCACTTTATTGTTATGGGTGTGACATTATAATAATTATACATATTCTTGGTTAATTAACAACTTATTCTTGCAAACGCAAGTTTGCAATTGCAAAGTATTCTACCTATTTCTGAAATAGGTAATTTTCATTCATTCCAATTTTTTACTACAGTCTACATTATGTTTTTACTGCATGTACACAATTTTTTACTCATAATTAGGACTTGTACATATAGCATAATGTGTGTGAACCGAAAACAATGCCGCAGGTATTACTCTGACTTAACATCCGTTCGCTTAGTTAATTGTTTTTCTAGTTGGAGCAAACACCCAACGGGTCGGTCGTTTATTTTATACATAGTTAACATACTCATAGCACCCGGCAAATTCATTAGTTTTTAAGACAAAATTTTGTTTTGTAAGAAACTAGTACATTTTTAGAAGTTCAACGTTGTTCATAATTGATAATATAATTTATATTAATGGTATGAGAATTTAAATAGGAATTTGTTTTGTCAAATTTTACCATTATATATGGCCTTCTTCGATTCGTAATACTGGCATACCTATCGATCAGAGTTAAAATAAATGTTTTATTCCATTGTTATGGGGATACAATTCTTAGGTTTTACAGACGCGTTAGGTATTTGATAACAAACATTGTTGCTGTATCTACCGACAAAGACACAAGCATGACTGCGTGAACGAGACAGCACCCCTTTGCATTTTTTTAGCGTAATTTTATATTTCTTAATTTGCGTTCATTTTAAAATGTACATTTTTGTTATAATACATTTTTAAATAGTTTTCGAAAAACCTGCAGAAAATGTTTTATTTTATCACACGATGGAGATCTTTTTACTTAACAAATTACAGTTTTTGGAATCTGATGATTAAACTTTTTTTTGTATAAATGGACACTGAAAAATACGAACATAGTAAGTAGGTATTACTTTCTATATCTACGAGCATATCGATCACATAGATACAACATTGAGTTTAACACGATTTGTGTTTGTAAACAGTTGTCCTTAACGGTTGCGGCGCCACTCAGAATTAAAAATCACAAATATCGAGGGGCACTGCCACTGCGCTCGCTCGTCACTCTGAGACATAGTTGAACAGTCCCATGTAATTTCACCAGCATCCTTGCCCTTCAAAACCGGAAAGCAGTAATGCTGATATTACTGCATGGCGGCAAAAATAGGTAAGTTGGACGAACTCTTTCACAAGGACCTTACTGCTACTGCTGTTTAAAGTTAAGAAAAAAACAAAGCAGCCTAAAGTTTCAACACAACACCAGTAACTTAAAATAAGTTAAGTTGGTATCTAGCAGTGATTACCTGACACTAATAGTTACCTACATAATATCATTAGTCGTGGCCTTGTTCTCATGTCATGGTAAGAATTTAAATTAATGCGGTCGCATTCATGCATATAACAGATAAAAACACAGAGGCGAGTCCTAAGTTGTTTGCGTTCTTTACACAAACGGGAATACAGCAAAGGGATGCAGAGCATGAATACAGTGCTTAGTAAAAATGCAAACTATAATGGTATTCCTAAACTCACAAGCCTAAAACCACAGAACAATAAATAGTTACAGTAGAAGTGCTTAGTAGGCGTTGCACGTGTGCCAACGATACGCGAAATTCTTCATACTTGAGCTCAGTCCACAATTTTTGCTTGTACGTTTGTCGTGTCGATTATCTCACGCCAAATCTCAAAAATTGTGGAAAAATGAATTGTTTTGCTGTTGTGGAGTCCATAAATGACAGTTGCACCTTTAATATATTTCATGGTAGTGTTTTACATCATCATTAAGTCTTATTTTTGACCGACTTATTAATTATATTAATTATATCTGCGGTATTTGTGAACCGATATCATGATTCTTTTTTTGTTGGAAAGAGAGTACCTCCTTAGTGGTCCCATTGAAGAAAATCATCCACCTCTAAGGGTGGCTGTTCACCCATGAAGATTCATTTTTATAAATAGCGCCTAAATTTTATTATAAGGAGTAATTATTTTAATGGTTGATTTTGCTATTTTCCAATTCAAGGCGTTTTTCTCTCTCAATATAATTTGAGTAGTGAGACCCGATTTTTATTATCTCCTGTGTCAAGGCCCGTATAGTGGCGAACTAGGGGATGAATCCTGGTTAGCGCACTTCCAGGAACCGATTTCAATAAAACTTGGTAACTATATGTAATTATACGTACTTTTGAGGTTGTTTTTTTTTTAGTACTCTGTACTGAGATTATGATTATATTTAATTTGAATAAAGTTTCAATTTTCTGATTAACTTAAAAAAAAAATTGTTACAAGAAACGAAAGTACACCTTATATCGCTGCATTAAAGTCGCTTCTTTTTTGGAGAAGTAAGTAAACATCTCGAATAAAGAAAAATACTCTTAGGGTCGTATTCTAGAACTCTACTCAATGCTCAAGTCAGGATTGCACTGGAAACGCAAGCACTGGAAATACGACCCTAATGGAAGGGACTTGAGTATGATTTCGAGTGCTTTAAACCATACTCAAATCCTGACTTGAGCATTGAGTAGAGTTCTGGAATACGACCCCTTAAATTGTATACGTTATAATTCTTCAATACCATATTTATTTATTTTTCTCCCAATAAATAGGTACAAACTAAAAGAATAGAGATTAAGCCTAATTAAATTTGTGTAGGTACCTATACCTATTCAAATTTATGACAGACAGGAACCTAGGTACTGGACCCTTGTATTTTAGGTCTCCTGTTTAAAATGTAGTTAAAAATACGGCATTCTTACTAAAGTTTGTTTTGTAAACCAAAGTCATCACAGAGTTGTGATTGGTAACGTGTTAATAAGCATTTTTATTCTTGGTCTGTACATATTTAGATAGCGACATATTAGGCGTATAGGGTAGTAATTGGCAAGAGCGTAGTAAAGAAATCTTGCGAACAATGACTTCAGTTATAGGTACACAAATTTTGTAAAATATGTTCCCCTTTCTTTATAATTTATAAATAAAATGATACGTTGGACACAGCACTAACTAAGGACCTCCTTTTATCACGGTGCTTCTTGTGCATGTGACGCATTCTAATAGTCATTTGGATATGCAAGTTATTCAAGTTTTGTTTCGCTGTCGCAGTAAAAACACAAAAATAATACACATTCGAGCTAAATAATTTATCACTTCTTACTGCAGACAACGTAATGAAACATCGGAAGATTATTAAAAAAAAAAAGAAAAGTAATTATGACAATAATGCTGTAACTTTTGATATTTACTAGGTGAATAACCAAATCAAAAGTGATAATAAAACAAACACATCCTACAGGTGCACGACACGACTAAAGAAGACTATTAGCCATTGCTTAAATATTCTGCGATATCCCGTAAGACTCACTTTACATTGCCGAGAAATGGAATGAAAGCAAAATTTTGTAATTATCATAATGAACTTTGTCAATTATGTAACGTACAAACTAGACACTAGCCAAAAAAAAACAGGTTTGCGTTTTCATTTCAATTGTCAAATGACAAAAATTCGCTCTAAGAACAATGATTTGACTGATGAACATTGAGCAAAAACGGCAATTAAAAAAACAGTACAGAGTACTAAAAAAACCGACCTCAAAAGTAATTCATCCTCTAGTTTGCCACCCTTAGCGGTGGAATATTCCCTTCAAATTTATATGGGACCACATCTGAGGTACCTACCATCTTTGTAATAAAAAAAGAATCATTACAATCGGTTCACAAATTCCGGAATTGTCGCGTAACATACATACAAAAATACATACAGTCGAATTAAGAACCTCCTCTTTTTTTTGACGTCGGTTAACAATTCGAAATCTAAATTATTACACACTACTCATTTTAGACACAAATTAAGACAAACCTCCAATCCGGAATTGACAAACGGGATGGCCTACTGTACGACATAATATTACATAATAAGTATTATTAATTTGTAAAGTATGGTTAAATATGTCGAATACATCTATTTTAAAGAATATGTCAGTGCCATTATATCTACGAAAAGATATGTATAATCGCCGTTCACGAACTGTTTGCATACCATGTTTTATCAAGGAAACCCCTGTATAGTCTTGTACAAGAACGTTATCGCCCTCTTATCTTTTATGTATTTGTTCGAAATTGCTTACACTATTGGTTTTATTAGTAGAACATTTAACATTGTGCATTGAAATCAGAATACGTGACGATCATAAAACGACATTCATGCTTTTAAAAGTAGAAACATAAATTTTGAAACGCCTCTTTTGTATAATTGTTGCGTATCGTCAAATGGCAAATATGCAAGCTAAAAGATTCTTATTTAGGAAAAAATCAAGTGTGTATGTTTCCACGCTTAATTCAGATCTCCGCAATTTTTCGCTTTTTGCTCTGTGATAGAATCCGCTCGGTATCTATTTTGGTGCCTATTGAGATTGATATAGAGATTATTAATAAACATTTTAGTTCTGGCAAACATGATGTACATGCGTAACTATTATTACAAATAAATAAACGGCACATGGTGAACCACAGCGAATTGCGATTTCGACCAGATCCCGGTCAAGAATACTAAAACTACTTATTGCTATTGCGTAACCGTTTAAAACGTTCCTGTTGGAATGTCGATGATCATCGTTAGTCTGATACAAGGTTCAAAATGTTGCGTCTTATGGGACTACTTTCTGTAAATAACAAATATTCAGGTTCGGTAGTTGAAAATTTTCTATTGATAATTGCCTATCTAGTACTCTTATGCCACAATAAAAATGACGTCATTATACGTTAATTCAAAATTAGATGTTACTGATATCATGTAGACATACTTAAATACTGCTTAAAAAAGTATAGGTAAAACAAACGCAATTTGAATCTAGAATGCTCTTGACCCGAGATATAGGACTGATATATTATGATTTTTATAATTTAGATTTGGATACATTTTATACTTTAAGTAGCCTCAATAAAATGATTACTATAAATTACGTATATATATTGATCAACGTGCCGTATTATCATCTTTTACAGGTAAAATTATTCCCTGGCGATAGCAAATTTGAGACCACATTGCAAGAAAGCTCATGGCCTGTTTGGAACGAGGACTTCAAATTCCAATTGAAACCAAAAGAAACAGCAAAGAAGAGTACAGAGAAAATCGATCTTCAAAGCCAACTAGCCGGCCACTTCTTGTCTTTAACCATTTACGCAGTATTAGAACCACCAAAAACAGACTCCGACAAAAGAAAATATAGTAAAACTTTGGATGCTAAAAAAACTCCAAAAGTAACAGAACAAGAGGAACCTAAGGCCAAATCTGGGTTTTTGGAGAAGACTTTTAGCAGTTTTAAGGCTACGAAAGCTGAATCTGTAGCTCAGAAATCAGTATTAGAAAAGCGACGAACTGTGGGGGCAGCGACGTGGAATTTCGACGCGAAATTGTTTCAGAATGATCTCAGGAATGGCTTGATTGGCACTCCGGACATCTGGAGGCCAATTAATGCCATTGCCAGTGGCCTCACCGGTGTGAATGATGCGAGGGTGAGTTCTAAACAATAATTTTTACCCGAATACGCTTTTACCTGTTTTTTCCTAACTTGGTCCACGGACTCCGGTCTACGAGATTATTCGTGTTTGCCCATAACTAACAGTAGGGGTCTACAGTATAAAAATGACAAAATTTAATCGCGATTTCCTTTTTTTTTTTTTAATAAAATATAAGTGCGCATTTGACCTCCATCTCACCTGATGGAAAGTGACTATGAGGTCGACGATGGGGCATGCACGCCTAAATAATGCCTATTCACTCTCGCCTTGAAAAGGCCCAAGTTATAACGTTCCGGGAACAAGTCTGCAGGCAGGGAATTCCACTCCATAGCCGTTCGCCATATAAATGTGGAAGCATAACGCTTCGTGCGAATCTTTGGAATATCCACTACATAGGGGTGGAACCCAAGCCTACGCCTAGTGCCCCGGTGATGGAAAGTAGAAGGCGGAATTAAATCGTGTAATTCAATCGCACTCTCCGTGATATATCCTATAAAAGTCATGAGTATACGCAAAGGTACCTGGAATTAACATATCATTAATATGCAGCAGAAAGAGAGTTGCAGACAGTACGGAACCCTGAGGAACTCGGCATCAATCGCCAAATGTTCGGAAGAATAGCCTTCTAAGACTACTCGAATCGAACGTTCGCTCAAGAAATCCGACACCCAATTGCAAAGGTCAGTGGGAAGCTCATAAGAGGGAAGCTTACTTAATAGGCTTGCGTGTCAGACCCTGTCAAAAGCTTTAGAAATGTCCAAAGACACTGCAAGTGCTTCGCCTTGCTTTTCTATAGCCTCGCTCTATATGTGACAGGCATACACAAGAAGATCCCCAGTAGATTGCCCTCGTCGGAATCCGTACTAGCGATCACTGAGGAGGTCGTTGTCTTCAAGTTATGACAGGAGACGGTTGTTAAGTACACGTTCCATAGTCTTGCAGAGTATGGAAGTGACTGAGATAGATCTATAATTGACAGGGTCAGCTCTGCTTCCCTTTTTTGGCACAGGTGGCACGTTTGCAAGCTTCCACGACCTGGGAACTACACCAGTCTCAAGTGAGGGGCGGTACAGGCGTGTGCGAACAGGAGACAATTCAGGCGCACTGTTAGATTCGACCGCTTTGGCCAAGGACCAAAAGGATTTGCTGGATTAGAGACAAGCTTGGTCCCTATGCGGCGCACATGGTCGACATTGGCCCCTATGCGGCGCACATGATCGAACTTGGCCCTACGTTACACGGTTTTACACTTCTTGGCGGCCTTATTAAAAGCTTTCTTCAAATTCCGAGTACTCGGAGCTTTGTGTAGTCGAGCATCTGCCCAAGCTTGGTAAGCGAAATGTTTATGTGCTTCAGCACATCTACAATCAGCGTTAAACCATGGACGAGCTTGAGGTCCATTGGTACATCAGAGTATGGTATGTAATACTCCGTACCCAAACGCCAGACCTCGACTACAGCATCAGCACAGCGCGATGAGTCTCCTGAAGTAAAGCACGCTTGCCAGGGATATGATGCAAAGAAGTGGCGCATTTCGTCCCAATCTGCTAACTTGTATCGCCACACCAGTCTCATACAACTATGGCCCTGATCGGGTGGGGAGTATACGGATACAGTTTTCAACAGGCAATGGTCGGAAGTACCCAGTGGGGCCTCTACAACCACAGAGTAGCGGTCTGGATCAGTTGTTAACAGAAGGTCCAAGCAATTAGCCGTATGAGAATCAACATCTGGGATCCCGGTGGCGCCACTGACAAGCTGGGAAAAGCTTAGCGTTAACGCAAGTTTACGCGTCTCTCTCCCAGCGTGATCGGTCATCTGGTATGGGAACAACCATTCTTGATTATTAAAGTCCCCCAGAATGGCTAGTTGCGCCGCTGGGTACCTATGCTGAATCTCATCAGACGTCTCATTCAGATATTGGAACAGCTTGGCTGTCTCCTGATCTCCACTGTGCGATCGGTAAACACAGCAGTACACTATTTGTGCAACTCCTGTGTCTACCAGAAGCCACAAAATAGAAAAACTCGGTGCCTCAAGGTTCTTGAGACGCTTGACACAGATGCCATCGCGAACTTACACACAGACTCTGACACGAGGTATGAACCTGTGCTCCAGAGTATACCCGGGGTAGATGAGGCACGTGCGTCTGTCGTACATCTGTTCTGCGTCTCGGTGAGGAACAGCAGGTGTTATTTATCTAGTGTGTGTTGGAAAATAGCACTTCACCCGATATGTATCAACGTCGCTATTAGGCCCTATGATACATCTAAGCATGACAAATCCTATATAGCTGACATCAGAAATTATTTTTATGTCTGTTATTTATTTATTATCATTTGAAATGGTTATTCTAACACAAGCAGATTGTATGACTAATTCATGACCTAAGATTTTCTATTTGCATGAGAATTTAACAAAGCGCTACAAATAGTCTATATCATATGTAAACACGTAGGCAATAAAGTAATTCATAAACAAGTTAACGCACGCGAGTATGGTGTAATATATTATGAGTTGTTTCATGAGTAACTAGCACACATCGTCGGTGTTTCGACTTGCTAAACATCTTGTAAATGATACCCTTTCGTTATGTTGTCGTAAAAAGTAGGTAGGTACCCTTTGAAAGAACGCCAAATATAAGTACTTTTTTAATAGAGCAGGTACTTTTTGTACGCCCAGTTTAGTGTATTCCGAAACATTAACCATTCAATAAAAAAATAAATAAATAATCAATACGTATAGGTTATCTATATACCGGGTGTAACAGAAAGGTGTGGTCATATTAAAGGACCCAAATGTACACTTGATTTAGACCCTGTGTGCAAAATATCAAATAAAAATAAGTGACTTTTAATGTTGATATAAGTTTAATTATGATTGTATAAATAGTGATTGTCCGAAACAACCACTGCGTCACAACTCTATTGCTAGTTACGTTACTACGACTTCACAAATTCATTCATGAAACCTAGGCGGCCGCAAGCGGGGCGAACAGCTGACTACAATTGAAATGCCATTGTAAAAACATGATTTGAATATGTTGATAATACGTTAATATTAAGTAACAAAATCTTTAAATACCTAGAAAAATCGAATCATTTCTAACAATATTATTTTATGCCATACCTAGGTACGCGTACGTATTTATTTACATACAATTTAAAGAATATTTATTTACTTATTAAGCCCGTAGTTACGCACGCCTTCATCGTATACACATTCTACATAGTTTAGTATTAATACATTTATTTACGACAATTTTACAATGGTGGATACTTTTTTAATTGGTACCTACTTACCTACTGTTCAATTCATACACGTTTTAATGAATTTCCTACGAATTGTAATTCACTGTTGTACAATGTACGAAATATTGACTTGTTTACGATAATTTTGAATAATAAGCACAATCACTGCACGCACTGCTGGCACATTTCACACATTTACAGGTAAGGTTCAAAATGCCGACCTCCATGCAATATGCATATGTCCGTGTGTCGGTACAGAGACTGCTCTACTCTTTGAAGCATCTGCCGAGTGATTTGACTAAATGCCATTTCGATCCGCTGCCTCATTTCTTCTGCGCTTTCACAGGACTCCGCATAAACAATATTTTTTATATGATCCCATAAAAAAAATCGAGCGGTGTCAAGTCTGGGGACCGCGCTGGCCACGGTGCAGGACCTCCCCGTCCAATCCACTGCGGGAAACGATCGTTCAGATGGGAACGTACATTTCGAGCAAAATGTGCAAAGTGTGAATCCGACCTTCAAATATGACCACACCTTTCTGTTACACCCTGTATAAACCAAGTACGACGTGCTATTTTTTTGTGAAATGACATCATACATATTGTTGTTACCAACTACTTTTTTGATAACCTCAGGTCTTTATTTGGCACGCTTTAATTTTTTTTAAGGTTATGAGTCATAGGTTCAACTCACACTGGCGCAGAGTCGAAGCGTCACGTCGCGTGCTGTTTTTCAACTACAACGCCTGGCGCCGCGAGTCGACGCGCGACGACTCTCGCGTTAGTGCGCCCGGATCACAGTGTGGTCGGCGCCTGACGCCTCACTGCGCCCAAGTAACGCGCGGCGACGCGCGAAAGCGATCGACTTCAACCAAGCGTCGAAGCGCGAATGCGCGCGTCGTCGTGCGTCGATGCGCGTTTTCATATTTGCATAACACAAATTTGTACCTTAATAATGGGAAAATACATGAATATGCTATAGGCGAAAAACATAACTAGTCGCGACGCTTAGACTCTGCGCCAGTGTGAATAGAGCCTAACTCCCCCTTTAAATACTTCATTCAGTAATATGCTGTCTAAGTTTTGCTTTGAAATATTAAGGACAAAACAGTACAGATACGTAGGATTTAAAGAACATTTCTGCAACTCTCTTCAAAATAGCAACGCTGCAGCTGTCAGTTCACATTATGCACCTAGGTATATCTGATTACATTAAGAGCACTTCTGATAACATTATCAGCAACAGGACACGGTTTTCAGTCTATGTGATGGTAAATTGCTGTTAATCGACTATCTGTGCTTTTACTAATTCTCGTCTGATAACGTTAACCGGATCGCAAAAAATAGTACAAGTATAGTTTAAATGGGAAGAATCTCTGAATTAGTAAGAGGCTTAACGACAGGTTATGTAGTTTATTTAATTGAATTTAAAAGACTGAAGTATTTAATTAATGAAATTTATAATTAATTAATTAAATAGATAATTAATTACATTGCTTCATTTTGTGTCACGTAAATTTTTTTACCTATTTTTAGTAGTCTAACGTTTTTCGATTGCTCTTGTCGTCCCGAGACTACGATCTTAGTAGACCATAATAAGCTTTCAAATGCGAACATTTTGCATTATTTGTCCGTCCATTATGTTTGTTGGACTTTTTTATATGTGAATTGAATTATTGATACCAATGATTTTTAAAGCCGCGTACAATGAAACATCCTTAGGAAAAAGCCGTTTGAATAAACATTTTAAGTTTTTTAAATCAGAAAGCTTGGCAAGAGCAAGCAAGAGTAAATTTTCCCAACTGCTAATTTTAAATTTTTTTTAAGTGAGTTATCTATATATATAATGAAAGAATACACTCTGCATTCGCGTCTCTTGTGATAACAGGAGATAATGAGTATTAAAAACAAATGTACCTACCAAATCGAGGTACTTTAGGTTTTCACGATTGTAGCTCATAAAAAACAATTTTATCGGATTTAAATGGATACTGACTGACTCAACCGTAACCTGAAATGGCCTAAAGGGCCTGAAACCATAAACGTGGCTTTGTTTCAAAAAACAAATAAGTACGCGATTTACATCCGAAAAATTAGTATCATTTCCATAATGTACCAAATGTTTCACAATAGTTACAGTGTAACGAAAAATATCTATGGATTTCAAAATATAAATGGTTGGCTAGCTCGGCGACGGCTGTCTATTAAAATTACCTCGAGATTGAAAAGTGTTTCACGCAGGAGTCAAATAATTTCCACCTTGAGAGATAATTGAATCCCGCGCTACTCGCAGGATTTAAAGCGCTCTCGCTCCAAATATCTGTTACTTTTTGCTCTTTCGGTACACAATATACTATTTTTTTTTAATGATTTAATAATACTGCTGAGACACGTACTGTAATACGGTTCAGACGATACCGAAATAAACTTCCAAGGCAAAGGCATTTTTTGTTTGCAAGAGGCGACTTTTATTGTTATGCAGTTAGGCAACTCTTATTTAGTAATAAATCGGCATGTTATTTATTTAATAAAATATAAAAGTAATCTTGTAATGCACCCACAGTAGTAAAGTGACTAAAATGGATAATTTTTGGAAAACTGACTTAAAAACGTAAGTACCTACTAAATAAAAGCAATATATTGTGTATAATTTTTCATATCAAATAGAATTTGTCAAATTTTCCGCCACTCAATCGGCATATACCTAGTGCCTCATACGCTAATTTGTATTAAATATATTTCGCCAGTTTCCCAAAAATAGCTTTTCGAATGTCGTCACATCATTATTGGGTATGATTTATTACAACTGAGATTTGATTTTCTGAGTAAATTAGGTAAGAAGTGATTTAGGTACTTCCCTATATGTTACAGTCTAACCTAACTTAAACTAACTTTTTTGATAAAATGCTGTAAGGCACTACGAAACATAAATCACTTTCACATCAATTTGTCATTCAAGGTGCGACTTCACATACTTGTTTAAAGGAATTTCGCTTTCAACGCTAACAGTCTGTGTAAACACGACAGACGTACTTAACCGCGGTGTCGTATAAATGACCCCTACCTGTTTGAGAAATTTGGAAGCGCACTATAATCTGCAAAAGTACATTGCATACCTTTAGATTGGATATTTGTGTTCGTTCATTCGCGTGTAAAGCTAGAAAAGCTACTAAGTAATAAGCACAAAAGTGCTTGTAACTGAAGACTGATAAGGTATACTGTTACTCGCCTAGATAGTGGGTCGTCATTAAAACTTGATCGTATTATCGGTGCTTTGCTAACGTATTCTGGACCGTTTTTTGCGCTGATGATTTGTACCTGTCTACTTTTTTACTTGTAGTATGTGCCTACTTCTATTGCACTTTGTCCTGTAAGATACGACTTTGCAGTTGCATTACCTATTTATAATTGCTAGCTTATGTCTTAAACATTTTGTACAGATAAAAGAATACAAATATAAGAGAGGGATGTTCTTAAGTGTTCTTCCAAACATTTGTCACTTATCGAACACTTAGAAAAAATTCCTTCGAACCGACGTCTTCTAGCAAACCGTGTCAGACGCTATGCCAACTAAGCCACGGATCGAACCAGCGGACCTCTCGAATTTTTCTATGTGCTTGTTGTCGGATTTTTTGTATCTGCTTTTTTAACGTCTTTTTAGCCGTAGCTTTGTCACTTATTTGTTTTTCTCGCTATACAACTGTACGTAACTACGTATTGAGCAATAGGTTTTTATTTTTCCCATGTCCACAGAGAGAAAACAAGAAGGGCCAATTGGAGGTGACCCTTCTATACACGAGTAGTGAAGATGGCCTCAATGACATCGTACAGCTGACAATTAACCGGTTGCGTTGCAGCGTGCAGACTATGCAGGAGCAGGAGCAATTCAAGGGTGATCATCTTTTATTATATTATTCGTAGTATGATAACGAAAAGAGGATAATTGCCTTATATGAAAACATGTAAGTTTTCACTAATGTTATTTGTGCGTATATTTATTACCCGTGCTACAGTTTACCATCAGGCGCACGACTTGTTCGTCCCGTCACTTAGTATTATAAAAAAATAATACAGTTATCATGGATTCTATGTAAGGACAAAAATTGTTCATTTATTATTGTGTTAATTTTTTTTATGCGTCAAACGCTGCGCTGTAATAACAACACATCACAATTAACGTGTTAAACGAATTGACCTTCACTGGCATTCATTGGCATGTTACATCGATTACCTATTAAAACGGAGAGAGTTAATATCACCGCTTATGTCCAACGGTACCTAGGTACTTAAATACTGTATGACTAGTTAATTTTCCTAACACGTAGTCATTCAGGTCTTGCGCTTGACTGGACAGGATGTAAAGATAGGGTTTGAAAGGTACCATGGTTTATGAGTGGGTGTGGGGCTTATTACCCAAATTGACTCCTTTTAAAACTGATTCAGATTAAATACTGACTTGATTGTGTTTTGACATTTACAAGAGCAACCGCTTGAGTTTCTCGTACGTCTCAAGGGAATCTGCTTACTGTTCCAATATAATTATTTGAGTTAAAAATGTACGACACCAATAGTACACGATTAGTTATGAAATAAGGAGTTTGTTAAGGTATTAACTTGAGTTAATACCTTAACAACGCCTTGCGTCTTTTATGGAAGTATAGGTTACGGTGAAAGAAAATATTATGAGGAATTATGGGTGTACAACACAGTTCACAAACATTATTTAAAGATTCACGTGTTTTCTTGTGTTCACCGAAGATACCTCTTGCTTTAGACAACTGTACGTGTCCTGTTTACATTATGCTGTGATTAGCCAGTATAGTTGGTATTGAATATTAATATTTGAATTTAATCCTCATTCTAGCACCGCTATACCTGAAGGCCACCATTCTGGAAGCAAGTAAAGCCGAATGCTACTGGAAGAGCGACAGATTCGTTCCCACCATCTCAGCAAGATGGGACCCAAAGTCTGCAACAGTCAAACTGTCGGTATTCAAAGCCAATTTGAACAAAGTCAGTGTGTACATAAGTCTAGGATGTAAAACTAAAATGGCCAAGAAAGAAACCCTTGGTAAAGCTACGAT